AACCTCCTTCCTGATCCACTGGTCCACTCACCCTGCTCACTGATCCACCACCCTGCTGACTGATCCACTGGTCCACCACCTGCTTGCTTACTGATCCACCACCCTGCTTACTGATTCACTGGTCCACGACCCTGCTTACTGTCCACCACCCTGCTTACTGATTCACTGATCCACCAACCCTGCTGACTGATTCACTGGTCTGATTCACTGGGTCCACAACCCTGCTTACTGATTCACTGGTCCACAACCCTGCTCACTGATTCACTGGTCCACAACCCTGCTTACTGATTCACTGATCCACAACCCTGCTTACTGAAACCACTCTGCTCACTGATTCACTGGTCCACAGCCCTGCTTACTGATTCACTGATCCACCACCCTGCTTACTGATTCCACTGGTCCACAACCCTGCTTACTGATTCACTGGTCCACCACCCTGCTTACTGATTCACTGATCCACAACCCTGCTTACTGATTCACTGGTCCACACCCTGCTTCACTGGTCCACCACCCTGCTTACTAATCCACTGGTCCACCACCCTTCTGACTGATCCACCACCCTCCTTACTGATCCACTGGTCCACCACCCTGCTTACTGATCCACCACCCTGCTGACTGATCCACTGGTCCACCACGTTGCTTACTGATCCACCACCCTGCTTACAGATTCACTGGTCCACGACCCTGCTTACTCGTCCACCACCCTGCTTACTAATCCACAGATCCACCACCCTTCTGACTGATCCACTGGTCCACCACCCTGCTGATTAATCCACAGATCAACCTCCCTGCTTACTGATTCACTGATTCACTGGTCCTGAATCACCCTGCTCACTGATTCACTGATCCACCTTTCTGAACTCCTGATCCACTGGTCCACCACCCTTCTTACTGATCCACCACCCTGCTTCCTGATCCACTGGTCCACCACCCTGCTTCCTGATCCACTGGTCCACCACCCTGCTTACTAATCCACAGATTCACCACCCTGCTTACAGATTCACTGGTCCACGACCCTGCTTACTGGTCCACCACCCTGCTTACTAATCCACTGGTCCACCACCCTTCTGACTGATCCACCACCCTCCTTCCTGATCCACTGGTCCACCACCCTGCTTACTGATCCACCACCCTGCTGACTGATCCACTGGTCCACCACGTTGCTTACTGATCCACGACCCTGCTTACAGATTCACTGGTCCACGACCCTGCTTACTCGTCCACCACCCTGCTTACTAATCCACTGGTCCACCACCCTTCTGACTGATCCACCACCCTCCTTCCTGATCCACTGGTCCACCACCCTGCTTACTGATCCACCACCCTGCTGACTGATCCACTGGTCCACCACCCTGCTTACTGATCCACCACCCTGCTTACTGATTCACTGGTCCACCACCCTGCTTACTGATCAACCACTCTGTTTCCTGATCTACTGGTCCACGAGCCTGCTTACTTATCCACCACCCTGCTGACTGATCCACTGGTCCACCACCCTGCTTACTGGTCCACCACCCTGCTGACTGATCCTCTGGTCCACCAACCTGCTGACTAATCCACAGATCCACCTCCCTGCTTACTGATTCACTGGTCCACCACCCTGCTTACTGATCCACCACCCTGTTTCCTGATCCACTGGTCCACCACCCTGCTTACTGATTACTGATCCACCACCCTGTTTACTGATCCACTGGTCCACCACCCTGCTTACTGATCCACTGGTCCACCACCCTGTTCACTATTCACAGATCCACCACCCTGCTTACTGATCAACTGGTCCACCACCCTGCTTACTGATCCACCATCCTGCTGACTGATCCACTTGTCCACCATTCTGCTTACTAATCTACTGGTCCACCACCCTGCTTACTGATCCACAACCCTCCTTCCTGATCCACTGGTCCACCAATCTGCTTACTGGTCCACCATCCTGCTTACTGATCCACATCCTGCTTACTGATCCACCACCTTGCTGACTGATCCACTGGTCCACCACCCTGCTGACTGATCCACTGGTCCACCACCCTGCTTACTAATCCACAGATCCACCACCCTGCTTACTGATTCACTGGTCCACGACCCTGCTTACTGGTCCACCACCCTGCTTACTAATCCACTGGTCCACCACCCTGTTTACTGATCCACCACCCTTCTTCCTGATCAACTGGTCCAACACCCTGCTTACTGGTCCACCACCCTACTGACTGATCCTCTAGTCCACCACCCTGCTTACTAATCCACAGATCCACAACCCTGCTTACTGATTCACTGGTCCACGACCCTGCTTACTCGTCCACCACCCTGCTTACTAATCCACTGGTTCACCACCCTTCTGACTGATCCACCACCCTGCTTCCTGATCCACTGGTCCACCACCCTGCTGACTGATCCACCACCCTGCTTACTGATCCACTGGTCCATGACCCTGGTTACACTACACCCTGCTTACTGATCCACCAACCTGCTGACTGATCCACTTGTCCATCACCCTGCTTACTAATCTACTGGTCCACCGCCCTGCTTACTGATCCACCACCCTGTTTCCTGATCCACTGGTCCACCACCCTGCTTACTTACTGATCCACTGGTCCACCACCCTGCTGACTGATCCACCACCCTGCTTACTGATCCACCACCCTGCTTACTGATCCACTGGTCCGCCACCCTGCTGACTGATCCAACACCCTGCTTACTGATCCACTGGTCCACCACCCTGCTTACTGATCCACTGGTCCACCACCCTGCTTACTAATCCACAGATTCACCACCCTGCTTACAGATCCACCACCCTGCTTACAGATCCACCACCCTGCTTACTGATCTACCACCCTGCTTACTGATCCACCACCCTGTTGCCTGATCCACCACCCTGTTTCCTGATCCACTTGTCCACCACCCTGCTTACTGATCCACTGGTCCACCACCCTGCTTACCGATCCACCACCCTGCTTACTGATCCACCACCCTGCGTACTGATCCACTGGTCCACCACCCTGCGTACTGATCCACCACCCTGCTTACATATACACGGTTCTGCCACCCTGCTTACATATCCTTCACCCACGAGGCCAGTACACTATCTGGTCACTGAGCTTGGAGCTTTACTGGCTTCACAGTTTTAGGAAAGAGCTTTGTGAAATTTGATTTAAGGATTAAAAAAAATGTTTTATTTTGAAAGGAGCCATCAAATTACTCATTTTCGTTCACTACACTCCCTGAATACTTTCTAATTATCAACAAAGCGCCATTGAGCAGGTGATCTGGATATTGGCGCTATAAAAAATATATATGAATAAAAAATATTAAAAATAAATAAATAATTATCATGCGCCTTGTCATGAATAATTTCATGTTGTTTTCATATCATTGTTGTTTTCCTAATTCCTTGACAGGTTTACATTATATATGGTTAAGAAAATGCCGATAGCGTGATTCCCTCATACTGACTCATTTGTAGTGACGATAGGGATGGAAGAAGATGCAGAAGGCTTGATATAGACACCGGGTGTTCATGTTCATCCTTGATCAGTGGGTGCCTGGACAGCTGCGTTATCAAAAGGAATCCAGTAAAGCACCCAACCAAGTCCTCATACTTTATGTTGCTTATCTTGCGGTGAATCACACAGGGCAGATATGCCAACCTCTGTGATTTTGAGGTAATCATGTCTCGATTACATGTTACCCAATTTTACCAATTACATGTTGCTCAGTCATCGTTTAGTGGAGCAGCCGAGGATAAATCAGAACTCCTTCAAATAGATATAGGACAGCCTCCAGTGTATTTTGTCATATTGATCCATGTGAAATTTTGAAAGCTCAATACTCCAGCGACGGTGGCTTAGCGACATCTCACATCAATACCAGATGAGATAAGACATAGCATTTTCGGTGTCTTCTCATGAAGTCACCAGTAGGGTGAACACTATTCGCACTAAGACTGGCGATTTTGCTTTGAAGTTCCTAATCAAATCAGGATTAACGGATTAGGGATTACCGGATTAGTCAGTTGGTCACTCGAGCGAGAGACGCTAATGAGCTGAACGGTTAACTGTAAATTACATGACATTTATTAGTGAACTCTGTTCAACAATTTTATGACAAATTCAAGAATAGATGCTCCGGACCACTTTCGTCACTAAGTCCTACATGGCAAAAGCGTGGTTAAAGCGTTCGATCCTCGGATCCAGGTTCGATTCCCAAAGTGGGTACAATGTGTGAAGTCTTTTTTCTATGTTCCCCGCAGTGATATTGCTCGACTATTGCTAACAGCAGTGTAAACCCTTACTCACTCAATTCAGGTAAAATCGTGAGCGAAATGCAAATGTTCGATACCAGTCAGCACGCCTCCAGAGCTATCACGGGAGTTGTAATTATCACAGTTAGGTGAGACAAGTGGTTGATATCATGGGTTACATTCCGCTTCAGTGATTCGATAATCCGCATTCTGCCATGTGATCGTCTTTGATCACCCCATCCAATTTAATCGTCATGTGGTGCGGGGACCTGCTTTTGATGGGTCCCTTCACAGTAGTAGATATCGATGGTGTACGATCACGGCTAATAGAGTATTACCAATTCAGTACCCAAGTCGTGTTTTGACGATATTACGATCTATCATGACCGTTAGCTCTTGTGTTTTGTTACCCTCCGAAGCTACAAAGCTTCCAAATTCCTGAAGGTCTGGGTTACAATTAGCCTTCAGCCACCCACGCTCGCAAGAGGCGACTAACGGGATCGGGTGTCCAGGCTCGCTGTGATTTGGTTGACACATGTCATCGTACCCGAATTGCGTAGATCAATGCTCATGCTGTTGATCACTGGATTGTCTGGTCCAGATTCGACTATTTACAGATCGATCTCATACAGCTGGAATGTTGCTGAGTGCGGCATAAAGCTAATCTCATTCTCTAACTCGCAAATCTCCCAAATTGTCAATGCAGCGTAAAATGACAACTGAATCCCTATATATTGACGGACCAAAAAAAAACATTACCAGGATGCAAGATGCACATGTAATTATTTATTTAGTCCCAAACGTCATGCAGCCAAGTCTTGATCGCCCACGAGCTGTTTAGACATCAAGGGATACCGCAAAGGCACAACTACATTTTTGTAGGTTGATTTCCCCGACATGAATATGAAAGAATCGGCGATATGAAAAGTCCAGGCATAGGACTTCTGAAGAATCGCACGAAAGAATGAAAAATATCCTCTTCCCACAATTTGACGGTTTTTGTTTTGGCTCTTCAAAAACTTGCAAACCACTTTATTTCAGCGCGTTCGCTGGTGCGCCCTTTGCTGACATGATCACCAACAACCCAGTTTGAAGTGTGAACGAACCCAGTGGTAGTGATCAGTTTGAAGGACCATTGTGGTATCCGGTCAAGCTCAAATTCATCACAGGATGTCGCGTTGTCCCTCAGTGCCCGTACAATCTGAGCTGCAAGATCTGGAGTAGGTCCCAAGCCAATATTATCTACTTTGTGATAGCGGAACCCATGGTCGTTGGGCAGCTTGAACGCTACTCTGATGTCCGCTCCATCTTGGACAGCTTGTCTAACAGCCAAAGCTGAACCTTTAGCCACCTTGCCATCAAGCAACAAGTGGAACAACAAGTGCCATCTCCTTGTGTCAACGTACCAAGTCATCGCCTGTCTGCCAACGGTGTAGCCAAGAGGGTCGGTTGAAGATGATCCGACAAGGGGGCGATATGTACGAACGGATCCAGTCGTGCTCAGAACTCTAAACTCCCAGTTCAAATCACTTACGAATGTTTTGGAGTCAGCTCTAGCCAATGAAGATATACTTTGAACTGCCACGTGCTTGTCTGTGAGCCTAATGCTCTCTGCTGCAACGATGGTGTTACCGAACTTTACCTTAACATTGTGTCCAGCTTCGATGAGACGTTGTAGGGTGTACCTTGTCCATAGTGTATCTGAGACCAGATCGCTGTAGTTATGAATTGGAACCCAACACGGATCCACAAACCAGTCTAAGACCACTTTGTCCTGAGACTGTCCTCTTGCTGTGTGAGAACCTAAATTCCATCTGGACATGGTACGAGTACCAGCGGTATTTAAGATCAAAAACCACCAGTAAGCATTGCCTTGAAACTCCAAATGATTTCCCACTCCAGTCTGGCTGACGCTCCAGATATGTTCAGCACTTATCGTGGCGTTTCCACCAGACCCTGTGTTGAAGATTTCAATATTTTGCACAGGAAATACAGCCTTCTTCTCTTGAGATACTGATATCGAGTTTCCTTGCAGAATTGATGAAATCAACGTGTCGACACTGCCTGACTTAAGAGTTCCTCTTCCAAAGGTAGAGTAAACAGGCTGTATAGTTTTCGTTTTCAAAACAAACCATGTTAAGGTGTATGTGTGTCGTGACTCAGACAGGTAGGTGCCTCCAACGTAATATCTGATCATGTGCCAGTTGCCTGTCGTGCAAACATTGCTCATCCACCAATATACATTTGTTTGAAATATGTTCCATCCATTTTTGCTGATATGCATTAGTGCCTCGCAGCAAACCTCGCCTTTCACGTTTTGACAATTGTCAGCTTCAGTGAAGTAGGTACTTCTGCCAATTCTTATCCTTCCGCCATGTTTAACCGTCTCCTGTAAAGCTTGTTTTCTGCCGAACAGCACAGTCCCATTTTCAGAAGTTTCTAGAACTTTAACCCACTCCCTATCCTCCTGTAAACCTAAAACAATACCATCTTTACTCATGAACGTCATAAAAATTTACCATGAATTATTATATATGTGCGAAATAGTCTTCAGAGTAGTAAACTAACGTTCCGACAATCATCAACAAAACGTGTGCATTTACGTTTTATGAAATAAAAATATATACTTTATAGACTCTCCTGTTCATAGCGGGATCACACAGATTTTGGAATCAGCAAATTGCTGTCTAGAGTTGTGTCCCTTGGGTTCGCCTGGAATATGTGTCAATATTTGTCAGCAAGCTACCAGTGCTCGTAGTTTTTTTCCACCCAAGTGGTAAAAGTCAGTGACTTAAATCTCTGGAGCTTTTTTCTCCCACGTTAAACTGACGCGCCGGCACATAGCGGGAATTTACTAACATTGAAACCTTGCAAAGTGATTAGAATTGTGTCAGGTGGCCGTATTAGATATTAACGTACGAGCTTTGTGCAATTTCGAATCGTCTTTCTGGGTAAATTAGTTCCGAGCATTGACAAACTAAGTTTAGGATTAATAGAAAAGGGACACATAATCTCGCTAGTGTTATGATTCGGGTATTCGTCATATTCACCGGTTTTTGTTCTGGGACAGTTTCAACACATGTGGGTTACCGATTTCAGTTAACGGAGAAAAACTTGAATGGATCAGTTGAAACAAATTATCTGTCGATATTATTGATGCATGTGGATAACTACTGGCACGCTTCGGCATCTACAAGGCTCGGGAGCGGTGGGGTAGCCTTGTGGTTAAAGCGTTCGCTCGTGACGCCGAAGACCCGGGCTCGATTGCCCACATGGGTACAATGTGTGAACCATTTCGGGTGTCCCCCTACGTGATATTGATGGAATATTGAATAAAAACGCGTAAAACTAAACTTACTCTCTACAAGGCTCTACTTACATGCATCGTGGCTTTCAAGTCCGTGAAGACGACCCGCTAATGCGCATAGTAACAGAGGCAGTAGGATTCTAATCTTCATAGCTTGCTTTCTGCAAATGAAAATATATGGAAGAAAAGACAGTTTGTTTGTCGTTTAATGACACTCCGTAACATTCCAGTTCTGTGACAGCGGCTTGTCAGTAATTGAGTCTGGAACAGACAATCTTATGTTTGACATCATGAGGAAATTGATCACAGCAAATGCGACACGAAGACACATAATGAACATAAACGAAACTTTACATGTGTTACTTTATGTCCCAAAACTACACAAACAAAACAAAGTGTGGTGCTGGTGGATTAATCTGGTTTAAGGACTTAATGAGCGTACACTAAACAGGATTAGGCAAAAACAGTGGCTTGGTGCGCCACCATAGTCAACAGCAACACGATGGGGTCACATTTTGATTTCTCATGGACTAGCCATCTGTATTGGAGCTTGTTCAGTACATATACAGGGGCTGTGGGGTAGCCTAATGGTTAAAGCATTCGCTCATCACGCCGAAGACCCGGGTTCAATACCCCACATGGGTACAATGTGTAAAGCCCATTTCTGGTATCCCCCGCCGTGATAGTACTGGAATACTGCTAAAAGCGGAGTAAAACTCAACTCCCTCACTCACACTTGTTCCGTACAGCGCAGGTCCCCTTCTCGCATTCACAACAGCAAGACAACGTTGACTGTTTAACACCCCTGAACACAGCATGACGTGGGCGTGAAGATGGACAACGCAAGCGGTTTCGTAGCGGCCTAGAACTGAGATAATCCGAACGAACTCAGCCAATCATTCCTGAGTTGGACTCCGTTTAATTTGCTGTGCAGGGTCTGTGATAGTCTGTCTCACAGTCCCTGAACCACATTAATTTCCCTACTACCAAGCCCTCTCTGCAGTGCTAAAGCCCTAAACGAAGCAAGTCTAGATTTCCTCAGGTTCTGAATCTCTGGTCTCCCAAGGGCTCCTTTCAATTTATACCACTAGGGTGTGTTATGTCCGTTGTTCCGGCAGGTTGATTTTCTGCGTATCAACCTTCTGTCTGCACATGCAGAGGTTGATATGTGGATAACGACCTGGGCGGTGCAGGAAACGCACGAGCAAAAGCAATGTAACGAGTCCATGTGGCGCCCTCGTGGTATAAGCAGGTTAGCAACCTCTGCGGGTGATGTGGATTCGCTCTCTCGCCTGACGGCTCGAGCGTTTAAATCCATATCTTGAGGAGGGTGCTAACCTATACTTATACCACTAGGCTATGTTATGTCCATTGTTCCGGCAGGTTGATTTTCTGCGTATCAACCTTCTATCTGCAGAGGTTGATGTGGATAACAACTGGGCGGTGCAGGAAACGCACGTGCAACAAGCAATGTACGAGTCCATTCGGCGCCCAAGAGGAATAAGTAGGTTAGCACCCCCTTTAAACGTATATACATAAATGGGCTTGTTTGTTACTATCAAAATTATATATATTCAGAGACTAATCCTTAGTCTAGGTCTGGGCACTCAAAGTGCGGTACTGATGACGCTGGGGTCGTAAAACGATTAGGCAAATGACGTAGCCGAATTCAACCGTTCTTGGCATGTGACGGCACACGTGGCCTTCAGATGTCGTACCAGTTTGACGCCTGGCTTGAGTGTTTATCTCTCAAGGTTGCTTAACGTGTTTATTTTCTTTTCACCGGCACACACAGCACGTGTTGGTGGTTAGGCACACGAAATTTTGTCAAGTGACCCCGCGCACGTGAAGGATCGCGTTTCACAAAATGCGTGCTGCATTCACTTCAACCCCGCCCCGCCCGCCCGCTCAAATTAACTAACCGCTACTACCCATGTTTGATATAATGCATTTGTCTAAGTGTTAAATTCTCTTTTTGTCTAGTATACATGAACCACTTGATATTACATTAATATATAAACAATGACAGAAACATCTGTATACTATTAGTAAGCTTCGTATCATACTGAATCTTCAAAATGGTGAATTTAGTACGTAGCTTGCAGAAGAAGTGAAATGTTAAGTCAAACATATGTTTACCTTTAAAAACAGAGATTTGTGTGGGGCGGTGGGGTAGCGTACTGTTGCGTTCGAATCCCCACATCGCCATTCTACTGAGGACAATACTAAAGCGGAATCTCCACTAGCAATCAAACAAACGAACCTGAAGTATTGCTTATCAAGGGACACTTATGCGGTATGGTTGCCTAGTGGTTAAAGCATTCCCCCGTCACAACGAAGACCTGGGTTCGATTCCCAACATGGGTGCAATTTGTGAAGTCTACTTCTGGTGTCCCCCGGCGCGATATTGCTGGAATATTGCTAAAAGCGTCATGGAGTGAGTGAGCACGTTTAGTTTTACGCAGCACTCAGCAGTATTCCCGTTATATGGCGGCGGTCTGTAAATAATCGAGTCTGGACCAGACAATCCAGTGATCAACAGCATGAGCATCGATCTGCGCAATTGGGAACCGATGACGTGTGTCAACCAAGTCAGCGAGCCTGACCACCCGATCCCGTTAGTCGCCTCTTACGACAAGCATGGGTTACTGAAGGCCAATTCTATCCCAGACCTTCACGGGTCCTCACTCCATGAGTAAGTGACTCTACCAGACAGCCTGGCTAGACATCGCATCATGTATTAGGCTCATAGTTGACGTGGCAGTGTGTGTAGTACATTAGCCCTTAGACCCTGAATATATACTGACTGACTGAGTTTGGTTTTACACCGCTTTTAGCAATATTCCAGCAACATCACGGTGGGGAACACCAGAAATGGGCTTCACACATTGTCTCCCGACCTTAATCCAATAGAACATGTATTGGATGTGTTGGGCAGAAGAAGACGCCGTCAAGTAAAGGAACCCTTCACAGAATTTGCAGGAACTTGGTGCCATGTTGGTACAATTATGGCGACGCATCCCCTAAGCTGTGTTCAGACGCATCATTCAATCCATGAGGAGACGTTGCGTCGCAGTTGTGAACGCTCATGGAGGGCATACGCGCTACTGACATGCTTTCATCAAGTTGTAACTTACCATTTCTACTCTCTTACATTTCCGAAGCATTTCCGGTGGAACTGGTTACATTATGAACATGATTTTTATGGTACACCGTCCTTAATGGGTACAGAGATGGAATAAAATCATTATTAAAACCTCTTTTCATGTATGTTCAACTTATCGACCTCCAAACGGTGTGAAGTTTCTTTTTTCACTGAGTATATGAAGTCGCAAAGGTACACAGTTTTTGATTCACACTGAATCATACTGAGCAGATTGAGCAGCTCGTAGACACAAATGTCTCAGGGCAGATGCAGGATGAATGTTGAAGACAACACAAGACAGACATGGGGATATATGGTCGGGATTTTCTGTTGGGAGTTGGAAGGCAGAGGGAATTTGGAAGGAGAGATTTCCTTCTTCTAGAAGGATAGTTAGCAAAGGCTATCGACCCAATCTACCTCGAGCGTCCGGTATTTCCTTCTTCTAGAAGGAAAGTTAGCAAAGACTGACGACACTACCTACCTTAGGCGTCCGGTATTTCCTTCTTCAAGAAAGATAGTTAGCAAAGGCTGACGACCCTATCTACCTTGAGCGTCGGTATTTCCTTCTTCATAAAGGATACTTAGCAAAGGCTATCGAAGCAGTCTACCCCCAGCGTCCGGTACTTCCTTCTTCTAGAAGAAGAGTTAGCGAAGGCTGACGACTCTAACTACCTTGAGCGTCCGGTATTAAGTTTCCAGATTGCCGCCTTTGTCATCTTCTCCAGGCGGTGTCGGTATTTCCTCCTTCCAGAAGGATAGTTAGCAAAGGCTGACGACCCTATCTACCTTAAGCGTCCGGTATTTTATTCATCTAGAAGGATAGTTAGCAAGACTGACGACCCAATCTGCCTTGGGCGTCCAGTATTTCCTTCTTCAAGAAGGATACTTAGCAAAGGCTCGACCCAATCTACCTCGAGCGTCCGAAGAATATTTAGCAAAGACTGACGACCCTATCTACCTTGAGCGTCCGGTATTAAGGCGCCATATTTCCGCCTTTGTAACCAACTCCTGTCGGTGACATTTCCTACCACGCGAAGATCAGGAACTGGACTTTACCATCAGAAGTTATTTTACCCCCACGCTGTCCGTGAATTTTGAAAACATCATGAGCTTCTTATTGACCTTATTGGTGTATGTTATTGCACCTAAAAAGAGTAGATCGGTGCTCATCATGTCATCATCACTTGATTATCTGGTCCAGACTCGTGTATTTACAGACCACTGCCAAACGAAATTGCGCTGCATGTTGCACTTAACAGCAAACACGGGTGAAATAGACAGGTGGAATAGAAAACGGTTGAATTAAAACGTAAATCTGAAAACTCACGGTTGAGAAATCTGCTGCGTCGACCACGAGCCGGATCTACATCTGGAGAACATCGCCGCATATATATATATATATATATACATATTGGTTTGCTGGTGTAACAGTTGTATGTCACACATCTCACATATCCTGTTTCTGAGTTTCACACCTTACATCCGGTTCCACCCAACAACATGACATGTTTCTGAAATAGCTGGGAAAGATAGTGACAACGCTGTACCTGTCATGCCCATTAATATTACACAGCCACGCTAAACAAACACTTATTTACTGCGTATTTGACAAAGAGAATTTTGGGAATCACAGTGGCAAAGCTGAAACAATAACATACACGAGCTATAAATTTGAAGACATTGTCATTCTGAATTCTCGTGTTGTTAGTGTTTTACTGTCGATGAAAGTAGCATTTCTTGAGATTGGAATTTGAACAGAATTTAAAGGAACACGGACTTATCTCTGAAAATAATGGGCGGTTGAGAAAATTCTATTTATTCACCAGAATTGACGTGTGATGTATACATGTTTGTCCTTTCTCATAAGGTTAACATTGTGACACTCACATATTCCTGCTGATTTTTAATTGTTTATTTTCCTTTGAAGTCAAGTAATATTCCAACAGCTCCAGCCTTTGAGGTTCAGTCAAGCCTGCAATTTCAAAACGCGTCATACAACACTTGCTCAGGACGTCACAACATTAAGGACTTCAGTAAAGGTTTCAAAGGTATTTATGATAGAAATTTGGAGAACATTACCAAATTTGAAGCATCAGTGATAAAAACAAAAAAAGATGTCCAGTGCAAGTTGTTATTTTAACTTTAAACTATGTCAACCAATACGATCTCGCGTTTTAGGGGTACCAATACGATCTCGCATTGTGGCGGTGTGTGGTCCTGTGCGTACAGCTCAGGTCACGAATCAATTGCAGTTAAGCAACGTCGAGCTCGAACAGTCTTTGGATGGGTGACTGTGTTTGGCAGCTTGACTCCTGAGAGTTTCTAGGACTTCAGTCCTGCCCCACAACGAAGCACATGTCATACATCTGGTCTCACCTCAGGCAAGTGGATTTGTTCAAAATCACCCAGCAGAAAATGGGTACCCGGTTGAAAAAGTCATGTGACTATAACCTTCTAGCGCCTATCAGGCAGCTTGGGTTATCGGGGTAATATTAATCAGATTCTGATAAAGCGCCGCGAGCAATCACTTGGTGTTTGGAGACTGTGCGCTATAGAAGATGACTTATTAACACTATTATTTAACTAGCTTTTGTATGTGTATATGACGCATGGCATCGGTCAGGCAGGATACGCTCCACATTTCTTTAACATGTTGTATCATCTGTATTTGATAGTGATACATGGACTCACGATTACGTATTGCCGAAACCATGAGAAGTTACTTTTGTATATATGTAAAGGTGTTGTCGCTTTACTTTCAAACAGACCATGAAGCCCTGTGAGCGACATGGCTCGGTATGACATACTACCAAAGCTTCGCAATCATTAATATACCACCTATGAGTAGGCTATATCATAAGGTTTTATCAGTATATATACAGGTGCGCATTTGCTGTGTCTTTTCCTGGTGGGGTAGGCAGGTGGTTAAAGCGTTCGCTTGTCACGCCGAAGACCCGAGTTCGATTCCCCACATGGGTACAATGTGAAGCCAATTTCTGGTGTCCCCCGCCGTGATATTGCTGGAATATTGCTAAAAACGGCGTAAAACGATACTCACTCACTCACTGTGTCTGTGCCTATTATATGACAATAAACTGTGACGAGTGTTGTACGCTACAGATATTAAGCAATGATAACGGTGTATCAGTTGTTCCAATGGGTAGGTGAGATATCCTGTTCATGGTGTCAAGCCATATCATATAGGCGTGTGGACATCATTTATCCACAATCAGTATCCTGTGGATGTTTGACACGCTGAGACTAAGCGCGTTGTTTTATCATCCTGTCATTTGGGAAAATATACTCATGCCAATAAACGTTGTCAACCCTTTCGATTTTCTTTATTGGAGAGTGTGTGGGTGGGGGTGGGGATGGGTTGTCGAGGGGTGACAACCATTATTGGCATGAGTATATATTGATTTTTACTGTATTTATAGCTTCTGCGTCAACAGATCAATAAACGAAACGTGAATATCGGGTTAGAATTGGTTGTCAGCAAGTCGCGAGACGACAAACGGGGTCAGGTGGTCACCCTCGCTGACTTGGTTGACACATGTCATCGTATCCCAACTGCATAGATCGCTGCTCTTTATCTTGATCACTGGGTTGTCTGGTCCAGATTATTTTCAGACCACCACTATATAGTTGGAATATTGCTGACTGCGGCGTTTAACAACGAACAAACAAATAAACGAACAAACAGATCCATGAACAAGGTAATGAACATAGTATTGAAACGAATGTGCAGAAAATATATACTCAACAAAGAAAAGGTCAAAGACCAGGCCAATATTCAATGTTTCAGTATTATATAGATCATAATATGAACTAAAAAATACTTTAATATCTAGAATTGGGTGGTCCTTAACTTCTTTTATTGAGTATATATTTGAAATGGCAATTTCAGAAATTTCGATGTTTATGTCCATTGAAGAATGTCTTTTTTCTTCAACTTGCAACGGAAAGTGAGTTAGTGGGTTTAAGACGCATAAAGCAGTATTCTACTTATATCAGCTGATGATAGTGCTGTTACTATGATTATGTCCCAGTATGCACATATGGATGATGATAGATACTGTTCTTGCTACATATTGGTTTTCTTTGATTTTGTTATGGCCATATCAATGATGATAGTGTGCTTCTTGCTACATTTGTTGACTATGGCCATATCATGATGATAGTGTTCTTGCTACGTTTGTTGACTATGGCCATATCATGATGATAGTGTTCTTGCTACATTTGTTGACTATGGCCATATCATGATGAAAGTGTTCTTGCTAAATTTGTTGAATATGGTCATATCATGAAGATACAAGTGTTCCTGCTACATTTGTTGACTATGGCCATATAGATGAATGACAATAGTGTTCTGCTACATTTGTTGACTATGCCCATATCGATGAAGATGCTAGTGTTCTTGCTACATGAAGATTGTTGACTATGGCCATATCGATGAAGATACAAGTGTTCCTGCTACATTTGTTGACTATGGTCATATAGATGAAGATACAAGTGTTCCTGCTACATTTGTTGACTATGGTCATATCGATGAAGATACAAGTGTTCTTGCTACATTTGTTGACTATGGCCCATATCGATGAAGATACAAGTGTTCTTGCTACATTTTACATTTGTTGACTATGGTCATATCGATGAAGATACAAGTGTTCCTGCTACATTTGTTGACTATGGTCATATCGATGAAGATACAAGTGTTCCTGCTACATTTGTTGACTATGGTCATATAGATGAAGATACAAGTGTTCCTGCTACATTTGTTGACTATGGCCATATCGATGAAGATACAAGTGTTCTTGCTACATTTGTTGACTATGGTCATATCGATGAAGATACAAGTGTTCCTGCTACATTTGTTGACTATGGCCATATCGATGAAGATACAAGTGTTCCTGCTACATTTGTTGACTATGGTCATATAGATGAAGATACAAGTGTTCCTAAATTTGTTGCTACATTTGTTGACTATGGTCATATCGATGAAGATACTAGTGTTCCTGCTACATTTGTTTCAGTTGTTGACTATGGCCATATAGATGAAGATACAAGTGTTCCTGCTACATTTGTTGACTATGGCCATATCATGATGATAGTGTTCTTGCTACATTTGTTGACTATGGCCATATCATGATGATACAAGTGTTCCTGCTACATTTGTTGACTATGGTCATATCGATGAAGATACAAGTGTTCTTGCTACATTTGTTGACTATGGCCATATCGATGACGATACAAGTGTTCTTGCTACATTTGTTGACTATGACCGTATCATGATGATATTGTTCTTGCTACGTTTGTTGACTATGGTTTGATCGATCAAGATGATAGTGTTCTTGCTACATTTGTTGACTATGGTCATATGATGATGATGTGTTCTTGCTACATTTGTTGTCTATGCTATCATTTGTTCCTGCTACATTTGTTGACTATGACCATATAGATGAAGATACAAGTGTTCCTGCTACATTTGTTGACTATGTCATATAGATGAAGATACAAGTGTTCTTGCTACATTTGTTGACTATGGTCATATCATGATGATACAAGTGTTCTTGCTACATTTGTTGACTATGGACCATATCGATGAAGATACAAGTGTTCTTGCTACATTTGTTGACTATGGTCATATCGATGAAGATACAAGTGTTCTTGCTACATTTGTTGACTATGACCATATCATGATGATTGTGTTCTTGCTACATTTGTTGACTATGGCCATATCAAGAGATAGTGTTCTTGCTACATTTGTTGACTATGACCATATCATGAAGATCTTATCCTGTGTTCTTGCTACATATGTTGACTGTGGTCATATCGATTACTATTACCATGTCCTGATGATAGTGTTCTTGTCACACCCCGCCGTGATATTGCTGGAATATTGCTAAAAGCGGTGTAAAACTAAACTCAGTCAGTCAGTTCTTGTCACGTTATGATTAATAAGGATACTAGTGTTTTTGTGGAGGATAGTCATTGCCCTATCAATGATGGCAGTGTTGTCGCTACAGTTTGTTGACTATGCCCTTATCATGATGATAGTGTTCTTGCTTCATGTGTTAATTATTTATGGGCATAATGATGTTGTGAGAGGTGTTGAGTTACTCGTCTCAAGGTTGAATTCGTTAATATTTTACGTATGATTCAATGTGTTTGTTGCTGTTGGCTTTTGTTAGGTTCGTGTTAAAACCTATTTGTCATCCTGCTGGTTAAAGCGTAACATCGAGACCTGTATTCAATTTGTCACGTGGGCACGTGTGGAGCCCATTTATTGCGTTACACGTCGTGGTGTTACAGAAATATTGCGAAAGGGGCGTTAAAACCATACTCACTCACTCACTCATCGACTTAGGCAAGCACTCACGTACTCATGTTTATTGCTACGCGCATGTCACTAGTGGAAAAAGATTTATTACTGTTCACAGCGATAAGAGCACACGCTAAACAACACTTTAGTTAGATCAGTGGGTATTCCTTCGTGGTGGAAACAGCTTATTCACTGATGCAATGTTTTCAATGATGTTTTCTTGGGCTTTTGTGTGTGCAGGTAAGCTGCATTTTTTTAATCCATGTCAGATCTTACAAACTTTGTGTCCACGTATATGTGTGCTGCAAATCCGAGAACAGTTTAATCCATCCAAAGTAGGTTTAGCTGTAGTTCTCAGGATCATGTAACAGGCGACGTAACTGATATTTTGATATTTTGCGGTTGTGGTACTCCGATGGTATGCGACGTTGACTTTGAGTCGGACATCAGTTATCTGACTCACAAGTTACTATGATTAAACATGTACAGGTACTTACTATTCATGTACAGGTACCCGTGAAGATCCGCATTAGAACTTAGCTTCAGTGACCCATGCTGGTCGTAAGAGGTGACTAACGGGATCGGGTGGTCAGGCTCACTGACTTGGTTGACTCATGACATCGGTTCCCAATTGCGCATGTCGATGCTTATGCTGTTGATCACTGGACTGTCTGGTCCAGACTCGATTATTTACAGACCGCCGCCATATAGCTGGAATATTGCTTAGTCCAACGTAAAAGTAAACTCACTCACTCATGTAAAGGTAAAGGTTTAACCTAGGAATGACTTTGGGCATCGGTTACGTGTTACCCGTCTCTTGCAAACGATATTTTTGAAACTGAGGTTTCCGTTCGAACTATTTGTGTTCAAATCCGGCATGTTGAAATACGTCCAGCTGGGTGCAGTGACGTATGAGAAAGAAACTTACAATACATCAGGTAGTTAAGCTACTTCAAGTTCTATACACAGGTGTCAAGTTTATGCAGACTGTAGCGTGTGCAAGCGGTTAGCCGGACATGCTTACTTATCTAGATGACATCACTGGGTTTCAATAATTCGATCATATCATTTTCTCCACAATATCGCCTGTATATTTGTCAGACTATCTAGGTTGATTACATTAGAAATCGGCGTTTTATATTTATGACAGGATGTGTAAACGTGTCAAACTTATCTCTTCACCGGTAAACGCAGAAAACAATGCGTTGTAAACCAATATAGTAATAAATACTCAGGCCCAACGCATTTATTTGAGGCGATCACATACAGAAAAAACACATTCGAGCAGGACGGGTTTATGTTGGAACCACAGTCGGAGAAGAATTCAAGTATTATGAAAAGGTTATAGTATTTTATGTTTCGATGACAAAGGCATATCGTGACTTAACATTCCACTCTATTTCTCGATTGTCTGTCCTATGTTAATGGTGAATTGGTAAATGATCAAATGAATATTCTCTGAAACAGCTAAAGGCTTGGGCAGCTAAACTGATGGATAAATTACTTCAGTGTATTTTTGGTTTTGCTGATTTACCATCCGTGAGACCATGTGACTAGACATGCATGTACGTGGAATATGTCTTAGAGTGAGTGAGTGAGATAAAATTTAACGTCACCTCGGCAATATTTCAGCCATATAGTGACGAGAAATGTGGGGCATACACAATAAATACAAGTAATTAAATAACCAGTAATCAACGGACTGTAAAATAGCTAGACTAGCACAAAAAGAGTTGAAACTAGCTAGCATGCATCTTTTTAGACAATACAATGTAAAAATAGACTACTGATGGCCAACAACTGAAGGTAGATCACCATACTAGGTACGATGGGGGCTTACAGTGCCTTTGCTACCTGCTGCTGGCGACTGTAGGCAAAGTTAGCCACAAATTAGAATGACAATAATAAAAGTAAAAAAAGTGGAAGATTAAATTTTGCCTCGAATGTTTTGGAACTTACGTATCCTCTCAGGAGAATATGTCTTAGAGCTACACTCGGTGGTTATGATTGTTCTTTGAAACTCTACACTATGACCCTAACTGTTAATTTTCTCTAATCCCATATTATAAAGTACTTCGTAAAATTGCAATTATTATTGATATAGGAAAATACTGGGTTTCAGTCTTCTGCCTCTGAAAGTACGATCGATTTTGTAATAAAATTATAATAGTATATTCTACCCTTTTCGAATCAATGGTTACCACTTCATAACATGTCCATTAAATGTCTCGGGGTAACATTAATGGAAACAAACTGAAACGTTTGTATAAAATTATAATCTGGTCAGTTGTTCTAACATGTATTCCGGGCAACACACTGCGTGTACAGGGGATAGAGTTGTGAAGGTTGTGATACGCTGCGTGTACAGGGGATAGAGATGTGAAGGTTGTGACACACTGCGAGTACAGGGGATAGAGTTGTGAAGGTTGTGACACGCTGCGAGTACAGGGGATAGAGTTGTGAAGGTTGTGACACACTGCGAGTACAGGGGATAGGGATAGAGTTGTGAAGGTTGTGACACACTGCGAGTACAGTTGTGGGATAGAGATTGTGTGAAGGTTGTGTACAGGGATAGAGTTGTGAAGGTTGTAGACGAGAAGGTTGTGACACACTGCGAGTACAGGGGATAGAGTTGTGAAGGTTGTGACACACTGCGAGTACAGGGGATAGAGTTGTGAAGGTTGTGACACACTGCGAGTACAGGGGATAGAGTTGTGAAGGTTGTGACACACTGCGAGTACAGGGGATAGAGTTGTGAAGGTTGTGACTGCGCTGAAGGTTGTACAGGGGATAGAGTTGTGAAGGTTGTGACACACTGCGTGTACAGGGGATAGAGTTGTGAAGGTTGTGACACACTGCGAGTACAGGGGATAGAGTTGTGAAGGTTGTGACACGCTGCGTGTACAGGGGATAGAGTTGTGAAGGTTGTGACACACTGCGAGTACAGGGGATAGAGTTGTGAAGGTTGTTAAAGAAGAATCATCATGATAGGTTAGAGGAGCTGAATCATTCGTCACCACTCGCCCCTTTCCGTAACCTGCAAGAAGACTCGTCCCCCTCTCGATGCTTGTTATGTGCGAAAATACGACAAACCAATCAGAACGCGCGTAAATGACTGCGGTGCTTTGGTAAAAATAATCCCGAGTACTTAAATCGTTTATGGCATTATGTCATTGTTTAAAAAATCATGAAAAATATATTGCCATATTGAAAGTACAAAGAACTTAGCTAACAGGATTTTGCTGCTGCCTTTTATGGTGTTTTTGATAAGAATCATGCGATTGACGGCGAGAGATTCAAATACACGCACGTAGAGTATCCCTGGTCCAACTGAGTGTGTTTCTGACGATCTTGCGGGCTTGCTAAGGTGATTGTATGTGCGCTTCCTACAATTTTAGGAAATGTAATTATAAATCGCTACTAGTTTCAAAACAATAATATTATATCTGTATGTAACTACTCAACTTTAATCTTTAACATTGGGCATATATTTCAATTCTCTGGGAATATTTTAGTCTGACCTTCTTGTGGTCATTCATATATTTTTCTGCGAATTCAGTTAAAAGTCCACATGTGGTATGACAGCAAGGTTACACGTATGTTCAGTTTGAGAAATATTATAACAGACATTTTTTGAGTTTCAGCTTTGGGATTTAATGTAGCGGGATTTATTTTACAAATTTTATTTGCATATTCAATAAAACAAATCCCATTTGTGATTATTAAACCCTTTTCAGAAATATAATTGGAAATATAAGGTGAATATCTGGGAATAATTACGTCAGAATATTTCTTTAAGAAATACGGGTTTTTTTCTTTCTTTTAGTTGTACCAAGAAGGTTGAATTCTTCAGAATAAATAGCAAAAAAAACAACAGCAATACAATGTATGAGTACTCAGTGATATTAACTACCATTGGAATCAAACAGGAATAGAGTTATCGTTCCTGTTTGAAGTAGTTCTGATGTTCCTACGCCAATATGAAATCCTTCCAGAGGGGCACGAGTCGCTATTCGGCTTGTCCCGGAATAACACGAGTTGGTCACGAATGGAGCTGAATGAACGACAAAATATGTGTTGATATCTGATTAGACAGACAGACAGACATTTTATTTCAGTAACATACTGCTTGATTCGTATTAGATGAGCCTGCGTACGTTTGTGACAAGTAAGCGGGGCAGGGAATAGACTTGGTTGCTACAGGTAGATTGGCGACTGTGCACGTGCAATACATGCTGACCGTGGCGTGAACTCAGTACAGCTTCTCTTTAACACGTGTCTCGTAGAGCGATTGAGTTCAGCAAGACAACATGTCGACACGGGTCAATTTTTGAATGTTTGCAGATTTTAATTAATTTAACATGTCCAAGTTAGGGAAGCATGGGCAAATTGTACACATACTTAGTACGATATAACAATCAAAACACGATTCGCACGAGTAGATTGAACTTTCAAGTTTTAGACGACAACCGGCCTGTTTCCCTCATTTTTCAAATGGAATGTCCTGGAGGGCGTTCACATATCTGCAATTAGGGGTCATTTGTAAGGTCGTGGCTCATCTAATAGTAGTACATCAGTAAGTCAGTAGGTCATTGGCCCATAATACAGTAGAATGCACATATATATATATATATATATATATATATATATATATATATATAATGTATACATGCTGGATGTAGGATAACGATTGAAATACAAAGTCAGTTGATTGTAATGCTGGGTTTACTTCTTAGTTTTAATACAGCAGAGAGGAATGTACTTAATGATTTGAGATTATTTATGATGTTACAGGGAATTAAACGCACAAAGGCTCCAATTGTTGGAGGGTAGGTCTGATGGGTTGTGAAACACGTCTTTCTTATTTCAGATTATTTTCCACAGATAAGTAGGACATGGAGCTCGTCTTCAACAGAGTGGCAGAAGAGGCAGAGACTTTGATCATAGGTGTATTTGTGTGGCGACCGGTTTCCACTGCTAGTCTAAAGTTGTAACAACGGAATATATAGTGCGTTTGGCTCAAAAGCGGACCGATGAATTGCAATCTAACTCAAAAACTAATAAACATATAATACTCAACATAATCAAACTATCAGACCAACTCTGTGATTTGTTTGCAGAATTTATGTCCTAAAATTAAAAAAGTTGTTTTACAAACTATCATTAAAATATTGACACAGTTCACTATTTGTTACGAGGGAGGAGTGCAGAGAAAGGGACAGTCAGGTGTTTAGAGAAGCACGTGCACAAGTGCCGACAAACTTATTGATTCATTGACCTGTGTTTGCTGTGCCGTCTCCATCCTTTCTCGCACACCCGGCTGTCCCTTTCTCTGCACTCCTCCCTCGTAACAAATAGTGAACTATGTCGATATTTTAATGATAGTTTGTTAAACAACTTTTTTATTTTTAGGACATAAATTCTGCAAACACCTCGCAGAGTTGGTCTGACGTTTTTATTATGATCAGTGTTTCATTGAGTATTTTATGTTTATAAGTTTTCGAGTTGGATTGCAATTCATCGGTCCGCTTTTGAGCCAAAAAGGACTATAGCTATAAATTTCCATTGAAATGGTTTCAGATTATCCCACTTGTCTCCGTTAACCCATGAATGAACATGTTCTTTCAGTTGTTTGCATGCCCCGTGTCCACAGCGCCTGTTACCCGTCCCCATGTTACAGCCTGCAGAACAAGTTGGATGGCATTGTCATGGATAATGAGGAGGACATAAGACTCTGGTGCGAGTAGGTACTCACGAATATACCATCATCAGATTTCACAACGTTAAACAATGTTCAAGTGTACCACGTAAAGTATCTAACACTTGTTAGAGATCTCTGAAAATAGGGTTAGAATTGGTCTTCGGCTACACACGCTTGTCGATATTTCTATTTTAATTGTACGTTTTTAAATGACAACTAATGATTCTTCATGTTCGGATCGCATACATTCATTTCTCACCTGTGTTAGAGTCTGTCTTCAGCATTCCAATCGTAGCGATTAATAAAATCGGGTGGCAGACTCGCTGACTTGGTTGACAAATGTTATCGTATCCCAACTGCGTAGATCGATGCTCATTATGTCAACCACTGGATTGTCTGGTCCAGACTCGATTACTTACAGATCGTCATCACATAGCTGGAACATTGCTAGTGTGGCGTTGAACAAACAAACACTTATTCCTTTTTCTGACTTGAACGGAACATAGAACAGTAGATATCAGCATCAACGCTAATGGCTGAAGGGATGGTGTAAATCCAGCTGGGGTCCATGCAGGTAGCAAACGCAATGTAAGTCCCCATGGGCCCTAGCATGGTGATGTACCTTCAGTTGTTGGCGATCTATAGCCCGTATTTTATATTGTACTGTCTTCTTTGATTGGAATATTTTAACTTTGCTCGCTAGTTATATGTTTATATCTGTGATTCTCTAGTCTTTTTACTGTCCATCGTCGACAGGTTTTAATCTTCAAAATGTTTCCACTTTTTATTGTATGGATTGTTTTCGTCACGATATGGCTGAGATATTGCCGATGTGACGTTAAATAGTAACTCACTCACTCACTTACAGTAGATACACATTTGAAGAATGAATGAATGATTTGTTCTCATTAGTATACTGCCTAGCTCCTGTACGTCGAGTTAGTTGTCAGTTATTTACTTTCCCAGAGTGGCAGTGCCATATACCGAGTGCTTGAATAAACTTCCTCTCGAGTGTCGGACAACTGGTTTGGAAGACATCATCGAAGAAACGAAATACCAGATGAATCAAATTCCGTGTGGTAAGACAATTTTTGTTAAATTAACGTTCCATTTACATGTTGATGGCTTTTTGTCTTTTCAATGGTGCCGCTATTCATGCTTGCTTGAGTCCCCAAATCTTCGCGTTCCCATCCCATGAGGTCATCCCAACAACATATGTGCCAGACAGTGAGCATCCGACCAAGACATTTAGTGATAGGTCTTTCAGTTTGTCGGCCCAACTGTGTGGAACAAATTACCCCTCTCTCTTCGATCAGTAGAGTGAGTGAGGTAGATCAAATTTCTAGTCACTTTGGCAATATTTCAGCCATATCGTGATTTAACTTAGAATCAGTAGAGTCGTTCAGCACATTCCAAATTAATCCGGATTAAAAGCTCATTTGTTCAGCATTGCACACGGAGCTCAGCAGCGCTTTTAAGCAGTCTTCTGAAGACTGGATATTAGCGCTATATAAATGTAAAATGTATGCATGTATATGTATGTTCGAATTGACTACGGCCCTGATTTCTAAGCATCTCGGGACCGTACTCTAACTCATGGGTTTTATCAAAGTGGTAAACGTCAAGGATCTGTATTACTTCAGGCTTTCTTCACACAATTAACGCACAGTGATGTTACGGGAACACTGCTCGATGCAACATAAAACCCAACTCAGTGTTTTGAACGTGCCGTGCCCATTTTGCATATATACAAACATTAATTCCCTAAAGGACTAACTTATTTCATTTATGAAGCATCCGGAATGTTCAGATTATTACATGTAGAATTGTATATATTTAATGAAACACATACAGCTTCTTTAGGGAGCTGACAACCATAGTAAAGTCACAAACACGACACAATTACGGTACCTACATGCATTGTAATGTTTAATTGACTGTATATCTCTGTTGCCATGTTACAGGTTCATCTAGAAAGCTGACAGTGTCAATCGGCCTGTTTATCCTGATATCTATCAACACATTCCTTCTTTGAGAGAGGAAATAACAAACTGAACATGTTAATGATAAAAATGAATAATGATGTGCGTGCTGTTTTTTATTATACGATGGTAAATAATGTGCAATTATCTGTCAAACTGTTTTAAATATGCTCACATGCAACAGAGCTTAAAATGTCTGCAAACATTTAATGAATATTAATGAATAAAACACAATGAATATGCAGGAGTCGTGTGAAGTCTGTTGTCGTTTCTGTAGAATATATTAAAACAGATTTACTGTTATAATAACATTACTTTTTGTATTCAAAAGACAAATAAAATCAGAATTCAAGTTAAGAGCTTTGCTTAAATATTTGGTGAGTGAGTGAGTTTAGCTTTACGCCGCTATTCCAGCAATATCACGACAGGGGTCACAGAAATGGACTTCACACATTGTACCCATGTGGGGAATCGAATTACCTTTACCTTACACAAAGCAATTCTCTTGGAATTATACCCAGAACAACATTTAGTTAAACCACTTCATCTATAATACATCCATCCCTGCTGGACTTTAGCGCATTGAGTAAAGGATTCTGAAAAAGATTAACTACAATGTCGGTTCATAACGCCTTCAACTAATCTTAATCATTCTTATTCACCCCAATGAATTTTCATGTGTATTGTCCAGGAATATACACGTCCCAAAACACAAACCATAAAATCATATCCACTTGAAAACTACAGATCTATATGCTAAACATGAAGTACATGTATACCAAATTGTCGAATATGGTAGTCTGGGGTAATGGCCACACGGGCGTATCGATTTCAAACCTCTCTACCTATTCCAGGCGGCATAACTGATCGAAATCTCACTCCTGGTTCTAACTCCATGTGTCCAGTGCTGACTAAATGACATTGTAACAGAAAACAGACAACCGGGACATGGCATTTTAACATGACTCTCAGACACATTAGCTAATATTTTAAAGAATGCCATCTAGAACAAAAGTTGCTAAAACAGTCAACCTTCCCAAACTGTACTCGGTTCAGCAAGTGAACAGGCCTTCCTCTACTGTCCTTTCGCAGAAAGCGTTTGCAGAAAAGGAGCAATTTTCGGGCTTCAGCTGGCCAGTTGAAAAGCTCATCAGTGTACAGTAGTCGGCCCCAGGAGCAGACTGAGTCCAAATATCTAGAAAATTATGACATCAAGTTATTGCCAACAAAATCCTTTTGCGTCACTATGGTATCATAACCTTTTTCTTAAGCCGAAATTGCTATTATTTCAATTATGTGTCATTTCTTCGAATTTTCGAGTCTTTTCTCCTTATATCGATTATGTTTTCATAATTTCGACTACGTTTTCCTCATCTCAAGATTATTCCTCAAACTCAATGGTTAGAACTTGAATCATATGGATTATTTCCACGTTATGTCTATTATTTTCCCGAAATTTTAAGTTTCTTTCAATGAAACGTCGCACTCGCTGTAATAAAGAAGTTGTTCATGCATATAGTGTTATCCTTCCTTACTTCTATACTTCTAAATGCCTCAGTCTCAAAGAAGTTAATGAAATGCCGAATCCTTCCTCGTTACATCTATTAACAATTAACAGATAATTAAAATAACGTGAGATTTCTTTCTATTTGAAAAAAAAATTATTAAACCAAAATTGCACCATTAAGCTTTTGTCATTTATGACACTTATAACAACGTAACATCGTCCTCACATAACTGCATTCAACTTTAACACACATTTGGATAAAGTCTTCATAGCAACGTGTGACCATTTGTCGGTCGTTTCACTGTTTTGTGGAGGGTATCCTTTGTTTCATCTTACAAACCATACCCTACTTATCCGTACCGTTGTTTATTACGTTCTGGAGGTGCCACATTTTCCAATCGCTGTCAGCATTAACCAGTTGCCCTCCTCTCCCGTCACAAAACATCCCTGCATCGAAATGAGTTGAAGGTCCGCCACTCATGTAACAGAAGTTCTTACTTCGATAGTATCGCCAACCTTGCGACACAGGACAGTCAGCTGGTTGAATATAACAGATAGTTTACGTGTTAGTTTGTAAACCAAATATTAAATTACAAAACAGTGTGTTTAGAAAAAATATTGTTTTATATTACCAATAAAGATTACGATGTGCAAACTTGAAAGTAATGTTTATTCATTATAGATCTCTCCGTCCAAGTAAAAATCTTTACATATACAAGTGGCTTTCCGTACGTAGTCTAGTTTATTTCTTTTGTTTGATTGATTGATTGATTCTTAACGCTGCACTCAGGAAGTTTCCAGTTATATAGCTGCGGTGGGTAAACAATCGACTTTGGACCAGATAATGACATCATGGCCATCGATGCACGCAACTGGTATGCACGTACCATAACATGTATCGACCAAGTCGGCGAGCGTACCTATCCGATCCCGTTATTACGTCTAGCATGGGTTGCCGAAGATCAATTCTAGCCCGGAACTTCACGGATACGTCCTTGTGACAGAAGATCTTTAAGACCTCAATTGGAGTGAGTGAGTGCGTTTAGTTTTACGCCGCACTCAGGAATATTACAGCTATATGGCGGCGGTCCGTAAATAATCGAGTCTGGACCAGACAATCCAGTGATCAACTGCATGAGCATCAATCTGCGCAATTGGGAACCGATGACATGTGTCAACCAAGTCAGCGAGCCTGACCACCCGATCCTGTTATTTCGCCTCTTACGACAAGCATGGGTTACTGAAGGCCATTCTAACCCGGACCTTCACGGGTCCCCTCTATTGGAGAGCATGACTAATTGGTAGGTCATGTCGTAACGGTTACAGTCAACTCTAACACCACCTGGGGACGAGTCTGGGAACAAGCTAGTCTTGGACAGCTGGCTGATTAACGCTTTCTTATTACACGTCCCATATTGCAGAAGACACAGTTCATTTGGTGCTTACGACAAGATTTGAATACAAAAATCCTGTTCCGACATTTTAAAACGTCATAATAAGAATCCCCGTGTTTATATTGTTCCGAGTCGATGTCCAAGTTGAAGCATCATGTTAACACAAGTATCTAGATGCACACAGACAATTAATGCGAAACCAACATTGTCAAACACATGTTACACTATTAACAACATTGGGGTTACAAATCAATATGGAATAAATGGTGTCCGCAATTCCAATAGCAATTCGTCAGTACGACGTTCAATGGGCGTACAACTGCAGTGGTAGTTTAAAATATAATGGAAGTGATAACGGCAATGAAGAGAATGATTATAATCGCCCAGCAGCCACAATGGTAAAGACAAGTGTATTGGATAACATCTTCCTACCATTCTTTATCTGGTGAATGAGCAATAATTAGCTCTGAAATGTCATGGTAAAGAATGTAAAAAGATGTTTTTATCCATAAAACGTGTCATGTATACATGTTCGTCCATCCTTTATATGCCTTTCAAGAACAATGGTCAAGACTCCTAACTGGCAAAAGCTGTCCCTATATAGTCTGTTAGTCTGTTTGTACTGCTGCACAGTTCCCGGATCATCCTTCACCCCTGTCGTTTCAACATATAGCAACTTCAATACCACTGCCCTATAGTGACACTTAACAGAATGTACTAGAATTGCAACAAGGACCAACAATAACGACACATTTTCTATGTTACCCGCTGGGAATGCCGAACTGTGGGAATTCATCTGGTACTACGTGTTAGTAATTCTTTATCTCGAATAATTGAGTCACCTATGATGTACGGAAATTGCCAATGTTTTGAGAATGCAAATCGGTGTGAGGGAAATAACTCGTAATTTGTTTTTCTTGTCGTCTACTAGATTCTATGTCATCTGAATAGCTAGTTCAGACTAATTGCCTAACTCTGGTACTCGTTATTATGATCCGATACCCGTTCTTCAAACAGTTCAAAATTAACGTTGAGGTGTTCAGTTCAGTAAGACAAATACGTTGTTCATTCGTCACACTATGTCTGTTTATGTTCCCCGAGCCCGAAGGACGAGGGGAACATTCACAGACATAGAGGGTACATCAACCCTTTCAGTAAACCTATAATATTTACCTGGTTCCCAAGAATAATATCTTCCTACGCCGTTGGGGATACTGTCGGATATGTCTGGCAGTAATGAACACTACATGAACCCTTTCAGTAAACCTATAATATTTACCTGGTTCCCAAGAATAATATCTTCCTACGCCGTTGGAGATACTGTCGGATATGTCTGGCAGTAATTGACACTGGGTTGAAGACTGTTCGTAGTACATGTATATTGCGGAGCAAGTAGGAGTTCTATAACAGGCCCCCGCACATTCAATCAATGGTATTTTATCCACTGGTTCCCAAGACTCTCGGGTGTTCATCAATAGAAGAGCCATCTTCAGAACTGTACTTGATGTATTCATCTAAGCAGAATAAACAGAGATACTGTAGTTGTGTTTATTTGTTTGTTTCTTTATCGCCGCACTCAGCAATATTCCAGCTAAACTCACGGGCAAAAGAAACGTCACCAAAATTATGTTTAAGTTTTTAACGAACCTTTGTATTTTTTTCAATAAAAAACGGGTTGAAACAGCTTGCCCGAACGCAAACAACATACTACGCATTGAATTGCACGAGATTCATGTAATTTGTGTAAAAATGTTAAATTTGCACGGAATTTTGCGAAATTCCTTCGTAAAAAGCCGTATTGAATTCAGGTATAAAATGTGTAGAGAAATCATGTATTCCATTATCACATCGTATGGTAAAAAGGAAACATGCCAAGGCTAACAACACAGCAGAGAGAACGAGCTATTGGTATGCTGGATTTGGGAGCGACGCAGTCCCATGTTGCAAGGTTGATGAACTGTTCAAAGCGAACAATCCTGAGATTGGTGAGCCGTTATAGACGGACGGGTGTCACGTCTGACAGGCCTAGAAGTGGACGTCCGTGGTCAAGACCCCCCAGGAAGACCGTTATTTACGACTGCTTCACTTGAGGAACCGCTTCGTAACTGTGACGTCATCCGCCCGAACTGCTCTTGGCCATCCAGTCAGCAGAAGGACCGTTGCCAAACGTCTTCGACACCATGGTATCAGAGCCTATCGACCGCTGAAGGCTATGACGTTGACGCCTGAACATCGTCGTCAAAGATTGAGGTGGGCGAGAACTGTTGAGCGATGGCAGGCAAGAAACTGGTCCAGAGTGTTCTTTGCCGATGAAATCCGTTTCCAAGTGTTTAAACCAGACGGTAGACAACGGCTATACCGAAGGCGGGGAGAACGTACACGACGTTGCTGCGTACAAGAGACCAACCACTATGGTGGTGGAAGCGTGATGGACTGGGGAGGGTGTGGCGACATGAA